TTGAAATGAATGGTCACTGGAAGACTTAAAGAACTCTTTTAGCAGGAATATTTGAATTCCTAAAACTAAAAAATAGGTTGCCAATAATAAAACATGTTAGCCATGATATGATTTCAGAATTAAATTGCTAGAACAATATATTGGAGCTAATAACATGAGAAATAGTAATAAAAAGCTTTTTTGGAGATACTTCTTAGAAAATAACAATATTTTAAAAAGATATTAAAGTAATGATAACAGAATTACTAAATGATATGAGCTAGGGCAATTCTAAGTCAAATCTTTTTATAGATGTTCTTCTTTTAGATTACATCGGCAATTATCATTCTTAATCAGAAAGCCAAGATATTGATGAGATATTATAATAATTTATCACTTTATTATTTGCAGGTACAGGTACTACAGCAATTTTATGTTATCATAGCCTTTACTTTTTTGCATTGTATCCAGAAGCCCAATAAGAAATTAGAGAAATAGTTTTTAGTGTGTGCACTGAGGAACACATATTGTATGATAAATTGAAATAATTAAACAAATTATCCACATTTATTAATGAAGTTTTAAGATTGAGTAAACCCACTGCTAAATTGATACTCGAAAATTGTATTTAGACACATTAATTTAAAGATCTTAAAATATAAAAGAGTACAATTATGTTATTAAATATTAGATTGGATTTTCATAATCAACCCTTTTTTTGCAATCAGTTTCAGAATAACATTTTATAAACCCAATTGATTTTGATATAAAAGATTGCTACCCTCTGAACCAATTCTAAATAATGACAATTTTATATACAGATAAACTTTACCTTCCTTTTTCAGCAGGTCCAAGGAATTGCATAGGATAGCATATGGCATTGATGGAGGCAAAAATAATTCTGTCTCATTTAAAAATAGTTTATTATATAGCCCAATGAACATTTATACCTAAATTAACTCTAAGATTTGTATATCAGATATCACCTAGAAACTGTGTGAAATTAATCAAAATTTAATAATGATTAAATATTATGAATATTATTATCATTATATTCTTAACTTTAGAATCGATATTCATATATAATAAATTCTAACATTTTCAAAGTAAAACTAATAAAAATAGCAAAAACTAAGTCAATTCTCAACTTCGATTCTATTTATGAGCTCACTTGGTAACTCTTAATATCGAGATATTCGATTATGTTTTAAAATAAGTAGAATCGCATCCTTCCCTTTTGAAATAATCACATTTAGTCTAATCTTAAAATATATATGTAATTGATATAAAAATAAAAGTTAAGTAAAAACGGTTTTTTGTGCAATAATAATAAGAAAATCTTTTTTCAAACCAATCTAAGCACATAATATTCCAATCAATATTACATATAGAATATCAACTTTGATATGAAAATTAAGTAACATTTACATTTAAAATATGTTCAAATCGAATTTTAAAGCATTAATATATTTGATTAGGTAATAAAAGCTATTTTTAAATATTTTAATATTCTTCTTCAATTTTCTTAGACTTGAATATAAGGTTTGAATTTTCAAGCCCTTTTATTTAAAGCTTATAGATCTCTTTCAATTAATAATTTACATATTCAATCTTTTTATTGCTAAATTTCTATTGATTTACATAATTGAAGAAATTTAAATTAATAATTTAATTTATGATACAATTTTGAATTAATATTATAAAGAAAATTATATGGAAAAGTATTTAATAATTATTTACTCAATTTATTATATAGTTGGCTAAAGAAAAATGAATTTAAAGGTATGAAACATGCATTCTAAAAAGATATTAGAATTATAAAAAATACTATATTCCAAATGAATATTTTAATACTTTAAATTTATATGGATTTATAAAAAATTGATATTTCTGATTCTACAAAAATTGATTATCCGCATATTTGTTTTTTTAGATTATAAGAATAATAAAGGTAATAATGAAAGTTGATGTTAAGACAATTTTAATGAAGAATAATATATGTATAAACTCATAAAGTATCTAATATTTAAATTAACAATAATATTTCTGTTTTGATGATTAAATCATAAAAAGAGGATAATTGTAAGATTAAAATAGAGACAGAAAGAAAGATGAAAAAAATTTGTGTGATAGTCAATTTCACATTCAAATCTTAAGCAGATTATTAATTAGAATACAAATTTGAGGATTTATTTCGAAGAAATTGTTTTTCCAGAAGATCTTAATATTAATTATTGTTATTCAAATGAACAAGGAGAATAAATTTAATTAGACGAATCAGATTATGAGATAGATGATATTTCTGACCTTGATAATAGTTTCGAATATAATAATGAAGGTATTTTATTTTTATGTATAATATATGGTAATAAGCACAAATCACTAAATGATATTTTGATTTTTGATTATAAAAATCTTAAATTAGTAACAGTCATATAGACTGATGGTAATCGATATCAAGATTTAAAAGATTAAGAAATTTTTTTACAGAAATTATTTTACAGGATAAAGACCATAATTTTCTAAAATTTGTAATGTAGCAATTATAAATATTTCTAAAAATAACAAAGGATCAAGATATTTATTTTTGATCTTTAAAATGATCTTTAAAAATAAAAATCTTTGAATTTCTTCGGCAATAATTATTAAAGATAGATAGAATATGATGATAAATCTCAGTGTTTTTTGATATAATATCAAGTGGTAAATTAATTAAATAACCAATCAATTTTCAAGATTACACAATTGATAAATCTAGATGTTGGAAATTTAATATCTGTCTAATATTAAATGAATACCTTTATCAGTATGTTCGTTTTTATTTACTTTATGATTCTATTTGGCTTCTTTTAGATGAAAACGATAAATTTATTGTTTTAGAATCGGAAAAAATTATAAAGTTATTAGGAATTATATCTTTGAATTCAACCCTGTATATGTAATTAACAAGGCTTTTGTTGTTGCATCCAATTACTATAAGGATAAACCACTTGTTATAGATGCATTAAAAGGAAATTAATAAAAAGAGTAATTATACTTAAAGACTAGATAAATGTTAATATTATTATCCTCCAAATAGATCTTATTATGTTTCTTATTTATATTATTACCCTTAAGAAGAAAATAGTGATTTTGAAGATTCGAATATGCCTTAATTAGAAAAGGGATCCAAATGAATGATTTTTGATGTAATCAGAGGAATTGAGAAAGAAGACAATAAAACAATATTAACTTAAGAGAATATAGATATATAGATATTTAAAAATGATTTTTTAGCTAAAAGACATCAAAATAAAATTCGTTTTCAGCTTAAATTATGAATTTTAGTAAACATTAATAGAAAATAAATAATAATTATTTTTTATTTTTTAGATTAAAAGTTTTCTAAAATTAATTCTTAAAAAAATAAAAGTTGTAATGATGAAATCTTAAACTGACTACTAATTTTTTCTTGATGAATTAAAAATAAAACTTTTGCAGTTTATTATAGTTATAAAAACTACTTTTCGCATTTCCTCTAACCTTAAAAAATT